CCTCCTCCCCATTCATCTCGTCCACTCGCCGGACACTGTCCCCAAGAAAAGTATGACACGCGCCTCTCTCTCGTCCCTGATCGAATCACACTCAGGCCAGCAGCTGTTGGTCGCTCACCTCGTTATCCTTGCTTGGATTTCGACCACTTGGATCGGCTTTCTCTTCTGGATATGTCGCGGAGCTTTCCGGTATCGTCGACAAGCGATTAAGCAAGCAGCCGACAAGATCAACGAGGACGAGGAGAAGGCGCGCCAAAACCCGATACCAGGCATGGACGAAGAAACTCGGAGAAAAATGAGAGGGTGGAGACTCCGAACCGTGATGGTGACGAACATCCCATCACCCCTTCGCGATGAAAAGCTTCTCAAGGAGTACTTCGACTTCTACTTGGCTCTGGTCAGAGCGGAACCGCCTCCAGCGCCAGGTCTCATCGCGGGAGTCGTGTCTTTCTTTCATCGTTTCGCGCAAGCCCGAGCAGCTAGGGAGGTGGAGAAAGACATTCAAGAAATTGACACCGAAGCGAACGACGGAGCATCTCGTCTGCGGAATGTTGTTGCTTCAGAAAGCGAGAAAGACGAAAACGTCCCTGTCATTGACAAGGTTGTCGTCGTTCGCAAGATGACGGAACTCGCTTCGCTTGTGGAGCGGCGGGAGGAAATTCTGAAGAAACTGGAGGAGGCACATATCAACCTGGCGCAGAAGACTTTGGAGGGCGTGAAGAAATGGCTAGTGAAGAAACAGGAGGGTGGAAAATCGACCGCAACCTTTCTGAAAAGGATGTCGCAGAAGGAGAAAGCGGCGAGACGCGCGAGTGTCAAGTGCAAGGAAAGGCAGAGCGGAGACGAGAATACCACCTCGCTGGAGGCCGACGTTCCAGCCCAGCCAATCGACAACGACACTACCGATGCCGCCGACGAACAGGAGCCGACAGAGGAGGAAGACGAAGAGGCCCTAAACTATTTGGCCGAAGTCCTTAAACCGTATCTGGAGGAATTCGGGTTAACGGAGGACACCTCCCTCAAGGCAAAGCTTGCGAAATGGAGACAGTGGCTTCCTTCTTCGGGGCTGTACCGGAAGGTCAAAGTTGAAGCTGCCCCCGGTGGCGGACACTCCCGCAATGCTAGTGCGGAGGGACCCGAAACGGAGGGTGCTGCAATTCCGACTTATCCACCTACTCCCGGAGGACCAAACACGACATCAACGCTGGACTCAAGGGCTCGGGTCACAATCTGGGAGGTCCTTCATACTGTTCCAAGGCATTATCTTGATGCTTTCCAACCCCTCATTCGCCTGAACTCTCTCTTCCGTGGAGCGAC